CAACATTCAAAAGCTTTCTTCTCTGATAATAATAATAAACATATGCCGTCATTGAAATGTATCAAGATAAGCACAGACATGTCATAGTCTTGATTTGTTTAAACCGAGAAACCGTGATCTGATCTCACCGTGATAATGATGAGATGAGGATAGTGCTAATTATCCTCATCTCATCATTATCACGGTGAGAATAGTAATAATGCTAATAGTAATAATAATAATATTGATAATGATATACTTATAAATAACGCAATCAAGGCAGCTGTCTGTCTATTGTAACAGATCAGCTAGAATGTTTCTTCATTGTTCACTAGGCGGCGCTTTTCTAGAGCATTAACAATTTGCCAAAATACTACTGCCAGAAAGACTATTTACTGATGCAATCGCACGCTCAACCAGCCGATCGATGAAGCCGGATCTTGGCTTATGACCACTTTAACTGATTTTTTCATTAATTTTATCCGCAGAAGCTCATAATTTCAGTTCACTTGATGTGTTTAAGTAAAAGAATTCATCAGTATTCTTCCTTTGCTAATGATTAATTTCTTTGTGGTTCGTTTGCTTTCCCTTGCCGTGTGTACAACAACACATCAATACTATAGGTCGAATCGCGTTCGACTCACATTGCGGAATAATTGCTGTTGTTGCATTTGAAAGTAGTGCTTCTAAAGACTCGATCACATTTCAATCCCGGGATCGGATTTGACTCCCGATGTCCTTCTTCAATCCTGAAATCATAAACGGAGAGCAAAACGACGATGGTGTTGAAAGACGAAGCATGAGTGGATGATATTACAAAATTTTTATTCACTGCTTTCGAGAAACGACAGCTGAGGTGGCGCTAATATGCCGCTCGGGTGGTGAACAGCAAATATCAGTGAACTTGGAATGATTCGTGTGCAGTTCAATATGAATATATCATCATAATTATATGAAATGTGTGTTTTATCAATTCCAAAATCCAAGAATTATTCATAACATAAATTCCAGATCAGGATTTAAAAGTGAGCATCCGAGATCCCGTGTTACTTGGTGGCCTTTGTTTTTATTCTGATGAGATGTCAAGAATTTGCTCAAAACTTCTATACCATCGAAAAACTAACCACCCATTCGTAGATGCACGAAGCACCGAAATACTGATAAACACTAGTACATCGCTGCGATCCTCCAAATCTGAATGAGCGTACCGATAAAGAAAGAACCTCCATAGTCGATATGTTCAGAGCACTTCGTGAAAGGAGAAAATAAAACGCTTCGGGCGATGGCGGTTAGCTGCTTAGGGGATCGGAATCGGATATTCAAATGTTAGCATATGTGAACTTTTAAGAAACCGTTTCCAGAGTAGTGCAGAGAAAGCCTTCACGAATCTGTTAACCTAGTCAGACCATGACGGATCAAAAATCACAACAAAAAAAACATCCATCAGCATTCACAATTTACACTTCCGAAATAATGAAAAATAGTTATGGACAAAAACATTCAAGTTAATTGCCAGACGTCGAATTTGCTAAACGGTTTCCTTTAATTATGCCGCTATCCTGTAAAATTTTAGCTGCTATAAAATTTATGTGATTATTTGTGAGACTTCAGTGATCTCATTATGTTTTATGATTTTGTGATCCCAATTAGCGATGTTTCCAAATGATTTATTTAATTTATGCATCTTCTACGTATAATGGTCAGAAGACATATTGTGAAATAAATAAACGATTGGATTTATTGTGCCAAAGCGCCGATGTTTGACCACAAATCGATCATATGCTGAAAACGTGTAATTGCGTAATACGACTAATTGCACTGACTTGAGGTTTCTCTTGAACTGAGGGTGGGTGATAAGAGTTAGTGATGCTTTTTGGTTTTTGTTCGATTACACACATACAAACACGATCGTGGTTCATCGAACGTATCAATTACCATTCACTTCATCCATCTATTTGCACTCATCGCTTAACAACTAACAACTCCTGTTCAATTATTTTCCTGTCAATGTTTCTTTGTATTATAATTGATTTCATATCATTCACTCATTTCTCCTGATTATACTCAGAGACAGCATCTTCTTCGTTGAATTTCCTGGAATCTATGTTCAGAGCGAAAACTGTTTGGTCAAGTGAAATTATCAGCCGTATCCAAAAAAGTGGAAGAGTAGCATGTATTGTGAGCTGAGGATAATTATTCAATTCGTAAACACTTAAGATGAATTTAATTCATTCTCTGAATCAGTGTCCCGAACCGTCTTATTCCCGGTCACCTCACAAATGCTTCGTTGTTGCAGTGTCTTTGTCTTATCACACATTCAACCTGATTCACGATTACATCGAAAGTTTACATTTGTTGTAATGTTTATATCACATCAAAATTTTAGTCACATATTAACCAATATTAAGAATATTGTTGCGAATACTCTCATTATTGTCAGTTAGTTTGTGTAAATCGCTTCCTCACTATTTTCGCTCGATCACACAAGATCGCTAATAAGAAAACGCATCCGACGGTGCAAAATAATCAGATTTTATCAGTGATATTTTTTGAACTAATCTGTTCTCAGAACCTCCATAAGATTCTAATTTTATTTGATTTGTTCAGAACGTATTAGCCACATTCAATAAATGCTCTCAAAGCAAATCCTCAGCGAATGAGCACGTCCCGTCGCATGCGGTAATATTTATAAAAAATAATCATAACAGTTATAATAATAAATATTAAAGAGTTGAATTGCTATGGCCAAATCAAATAAAATTGTGTTCAAGTCTTAATCCACGAGGATAAGAGATACTCGAAGAGCCATCGAATTTGAATAACTAAAATCCCATCCTTTTCATAGTTTTTGTACTTTTTCTCGTTCGAATGAAAAGACAGCAGCACCCTTTCGTAAGTATGCCGTATTTAAAATTCTCAGTGAAAGCATCATCATTTCCATCCGACATTTATCATCATCGTCATAACTCAGTAATATCATCCATTTGATCAGTCTTTTCTTGTTCAGCAACCATCGTTCACAAATGATTTTGTCTGATCCGTGAAGTTTTTTCATCTACATTTTTTGGCTGGGATGATTCATTTGGAGTTCAATCATCGCTAAGCAGTGAATGATTTTTGCTCTTCAACGAACAAATTTTCACCATATCATTTGGTATCAGAAGTGAACTCTATGATTTTGTACACATTTCACGGTGTAATGACGAATTTCTCCTGATTATACCCTGGTCAGAACTGAAATCACTTGAATAATCAATCATAATTGAGCCTTAAAAGATCGACGAGAACGCTTCGTAATAATCCATCGCATTCGATCTTACTTCTACTATGCGCTCTTCTATCGTCATTATTATTAATTGTTAAGCTAATCAATAAGCTTATTGTTCGACTGCCAAGCTGCTTGGTCATCATCTTCTTCGACAACTTATTTATTTATTATAAGAATGAAATGGATAGCCTAACGATATGTTTATGATAATTACAATTACAATAGAAAGATTTTTCGCAATTTCTAACAAAATTTTTCATAGTCATTTAACGAATGATTTTTTTACTCATACTTAAATTTCACCATGCGACGTTATTAAATATAGCACTACTTACGCAATGCATTGAAAAAATTTCATGAGATTTAAAAAATTTCCGCTCGAGTGGAAGGCGTAAGAAATTCTCACGCCTACTGCCGTTAGCATGTTTCGATAAGCTTCAGCTGTACGCTCTTGAACGCTGCCATTCATACTGGACTCGACTTTCGCGATTTTTGCATCAATGATCTATCTGGCTAGATCTTGAGATGAGTATCCCAGTCAATCTTTAGACACATTGCTGTCCATCATTCGGCGCTCATTGCGATCGTCATAGTCATTCATTTTTTGGATCTAACTTGAGAAAGTGAAACATCCTCAGAAGCGCTGCTCTGAAATGAGTTTCTTCTGAAAATTATTCGTTGTTCAATTTTGGAACGAAACCTCGAGCTTAAATGTCTGCGGGGTATTGACAGAGGGAGACTGCTGAAACTGTGTCCCTGCCTATATTCTTTATCAGAAATTTATCTAACAGAACCAAGAAATATGAGGCCAATGAAAATGCATTTTGGATACTTCTTTTACTCATGACGGTTTAAGATGCGTCCCATGGGCCTATGTAGTACATAAAATTTAATGCACGATCACACATCTTCTCTGCTGCACAAAGAAAGTCCAGTGATATTCGAGAGATTTATAGGATGGCCACGTCAAAGTGGTGTTCTGCATCACATCTCCTCATTCGGTTTTGCACTGAATCAAAAATGGCTTTTGATCAATAGATCAATGACGATCGCTTTTATGTATTACTAACCTCAACGATTTTAACGAGTATGAAATCGTTATGCAATGCCTTACATGATTTGCAGAAAGGATTCTCCGTTAGCTCAAATTGAAGCGTAGCATTGTTGGTAATGGAGAACACGTTGCCACCTCGAGAGCAATGGTCTTCGTGGGTTGACTTTATTATGTCATGTGTTGGTTATGCGATTGGATTGGGAAACGTCTGGAGATTTCCGTATTTGTGCTATCAAAACGGTGGAGGTTTGTTCATAGAGCAGCTTTTACAGCGATGTCAGTGTTCCAGTTCCCGTTATATTCTTGTTCTATTCCACTTTCCATTCCATTCTCTGCAAATTGGGATGCAAGAGCGGAACAAAGCAGTTTAGAAAGATTGGGGTTTGGGAATGGAATAGATCAGAACNTCTTCAAAAATTGAGAAGTTCTAATACAGAAGAATAAGTCGCTGAAAATGTGCAACAGAGACATCAATAAGCATCATTTGACGTAGGAATTTGGTGTACTGAGTGTGACGTAAACATGTATGCTGAATAGATCTGTTTCAGGAGCGTTCCTGATACCATATTTCATTTCGTTGGTTTTCTGCGGTGCTCCTCTGTTCATTCTAGAAACTTCTTGGGGACAGCTCCTGAGTGTCGGTGGCTTAGGAATGTTCAAAATATGCCCGATTTTCAAGGTTTTATTTTTTTAAATATATTTCGGATGGTTGCATTTGAGATTGCTTGAGGTATTGATGGCGGCTATAAAATAGTGAAATACAATAAAATACTGACGATGTTTTATTGAACCGGCGATATTTTATTTTTATTGTTGTGTTCGTTAAAAGATCGTTTCTGTTGAGGGAGTGGGTATAGCCGCAGCAGTAATGGCCTTCTGGCTGAATATTTACTACATTGTGGTGCTCAGTTGGGCAATGTGCTATCTGTGGAATTCGTTTCGATTGGATTCCAACGTTCCGTGGCGTTCTTGTGATAACCCGTTAATGGCTTATTGAATTTTTCATTGACTCATTCAAATTACTCAGATAAACTCTCAATGAACTATTATTATTGCCAGAAAGATTATCAATTCTTTTATGACTCTTTGCGAATATTCCAAAACAAAAATCAATCGTTATCAGAAAAAGTCTTCATATTGCAGTCGGCAAACTTTCAGATGGAACACAAAAAGATGCCGAAGTGAATACGATCCACTGGCGTGTGCAAATAACCGAACGATCGCTAAGTATTTCAATGTCAAAGTAATTGTTTTGTTCTCTGATTCCTAGCTGACATCAAATTTTAATTTGTGGATTTTATTCATCTGTTTTTGCATCGTTCAAATTCTCACCGCATCGCGAGGGTCGAAAAACTTCAATTGCATTAAATGCGTTAAATCGACTGATTCACTAAAATCATCGCTGTGTTTATTTGTTTAACAAAAGTCATCAACCACCTCAAAATACTTACAATATGAAGTAATTATGAAAATTTTTTGGTTTTTTTGGTTGATTCAATTGAAATGTTGAGGTGCTGACAAATGATCATTTGACTGAATATCGACAGCAGTTTTTCGTTGGTCCAAAAGCAAATTGGTCAGTGTGCACTGCGGCAGATCTTAATGTTCAATCGCCTGTAAAGGAATTCTGGAAGTGATTATTTATTAATCGTTCATTTCAAGCTCTAGCTGTAGATATCTGCGAAAGCAGATCAAATTTCTGGTAAAAGCTTTCAGATGATATTGATGTCTGAACAGTGTTAAACCAATTCAAATATTCTTTCTTTATCAATATTACAATTGGTTCATCAGTTAATCCTAAAATCTAAAAATCAGTTGATGTGTTTCAAAATTTTCAAAACGGTCTCAATCAATTATGGAAACTGCTGTGTTTTCTTTTAAATACAATTCATCTTCACCCTTGAATATATCAATTTATAGCTATAAGGTGCTGGGAATTAGCTCCGGTGTTGATGTACCGGGTGCTATGCGTTGGGATTTGGCGCTGTACCTTTTCATCGCATGGGCCATTTGTTATTTGTGCATTTTTAAGGGGGTCAGATGGACCGGAAAGGTAAATTTTCAGTGTTGATGCCTGAATGGATACCATCAAATCTCATGCATGAACTTAGTTGATGAACTTTAGGTGGTATATCTAACCGCATCATTCCCTTACGTGATGCTGGTTTGTCTCCTGATTCGTGGTCTGACATTACCTGGTGCTAGCCTTGGACTGGAGTATTACTTGAAACCGAATTTCTCAGTTTTGTTCAGAAGTAAAGTATGGATTGATGCCGTCACGCAGGTCTTCTTTTCATACGGTCTTGGACTTGGTGCACTCGTAGCGCTCGGAAGCTACAATTCATATCACAATAATGTTTATAAGTCAGTCAGCTTTCCTTTTCGTTACCTTCATTCGCTTCATTAACGTCTTATGGTTCATTATTCACAAGCAACAACAACTCTGCAAAGTTCTAATTCAATGACCACTGGCAGCTTAACCTACAACAATGCTGATAAATTCGCTATTTGCAATGATGATGCATTATTGTTCTGATGCTAGTAAATCGTTGTTGCAATGGAATCGCGAATAATTATTAAGAATCTCAAATTGAGAATTGAAAACAAAACTTCCAGGCAAGCCTTAACGGTGTGTTTTGTCAATAGTGGAACGAGCGTTTTTGCTGGTTTTGTCATCTTCTCTTTCATTGGTTTCATGGCAGTTCAACAAGGCAAAACTGTGGCTGAGGTCAGCAGCGGTGCTTTATTTAAATGTTGCACTATATCGTGCTTCGAAACCTAACAAGCATTCACTCAACTGTGATCGTGAATGGTGTGATCCAGCAGCAGCAGCAGCATTCAGCTGAACAAAATTCGTTGCATTTTTCATCCGAAACATCACTTCTTTAAACTGAAATATAAGTAGACTTCACATGATCACTATTGGAAGCGTGGCATTTTAGAAATGGAAAGCATATCCGTCACAGTTTGAGTTTCTGCTTCGAATGTGACATAATCAACACTTTTAGTCACAGATCATTCTAAACATTGAAACTCTACCTACCGTATCAACCAATTTCAAACATATTTATAGACTGCCTATAATATCAATTTAGGTTGCGCAATCAGGACCAGGTTTGCTGTTTTTGGCCTATCCATCTGGCATTCTTCAGTTGCCGTACACAAATATATGGTCTATCCTCTTCTTTACCATGGTACTGTTTCTTGGCGTGGATTCACAGGTGAACAAACTCTTATTCGAAATCCTACTTTTATTTCAGATGATACAGCAGCAATCTCAAATTGACTTAAATAGAATTGAAATCTCTATCATTTCCTCAAAAAAATCGCTTCGTCTACGTTTTTTCTGTGATGTTCTTCACTCTCAACGTAACTGCTTTCCTTAAAAGCATTCGAAACATTTGCATGTCTCAAGCTCATTTGAATCACGAAAAAAATTCAATAATCCTGCTGGAATATTCTTTTATTAGTTGCGAAGTGGTCATTGCGTGGCGCATTATTATCTTCAATCCACTTCATGAACGAACCGAAGTATGCTAATTTCGTAGCCTCAGGCGTTGTGAGTTCCTTTGCAGTCATTCCAAGTGTCTAATCGTAAGCATGAACAATGTGCGAAGAATCTAAATCGAAATCCACGTCTTTCTCACCACAGTTGAATTAGTGCACTATGAACATGAAATGTGTGATTTCATTATAAATTCCTAGGGAATTCGCAATGTTATAAAGGAGATCCAAAGAAATCATTTCGAAGGAAATTTCGTTTCATTAAACGCAGTCTCCACTCTGAAACACTACTTGTTTATAAAATTGATCGACACGATCCTTACTGATCCAGCAGACTTTTTTTGATTGAAATTCGATGGTATTAGTTAATTTGAATCTGATTTCTAGCAACGCTTAATCTGTATTGCTGAGCTTGCTAGCCATTTTTGCATTCCATTCGTTCGGTGAATGCACTGAATGGTGATAAATAAATATGACTGTATGAAAGTGGATGGGTTGCTGGACGTTCTGTCCTGAAAAACCGTTCAGCCTCCCCGGATATAATTGTCACATGAGTTCCAAAGCCAATTCTAGAGGAAAGATAGGATTGTCCAACAAACGGCTCGAAACAACGCACTTTTGTCAACGTTTGTGTGAAAGGAACATAATGATTGATCCTGAAATGTAATCTGTCTGTAACGAACAAAACATTTATGACTATTGAATGAGATCAAATTTTTCCTCAACAAACTGGAAACCTGAGAAGAGGGTTAGCTCGAAAATCGCAATCCGCCTATTGCTAATATGAACGTATCGATTGTTCTATAGTGATCAATTTGTATGAACGAGCGCGGCGGCGCTATCGAATTGAGATAGGTCTAAGTAAATGACTATAGCTCCTTATTGTTAGGAAAGCAAAATCGCTCGACAAAATATATGTTTTTCTGAAGGAGGAGATCCAGCTGGGTCGACTGATGCAAAGAAATTCATATGTCACTGGGCAAACTTGAGAAGACGGTAGGTGCGAAAATGGGAAACCGCATAGCATTAAGTATACGGCTAAACCTCCTCATCTAATCATAATTTTTCTGGAATTATATGATATTCTGAAC